TTCTGGTGATATTTAATCAAGACATATTAAATATTACAGTCTAGATCTATGTAAAGGTCAAGTTTCCAGACGGCCTGATTTCCAATGAAACAAGCAATAATTTGTCATTGCACATACAATAAAATACAATGACAAGCCATTATTGCCTTTATGAGTGTAATGCTTTCCAAAAAATGAATTAAGTAGGATGAGAAAGTGGAAGATTGTGATAATTTGAACTAAAAATTGCAAAAGTGTGAGCGAGTCAGTGTGTACTCTGTTCCTCAGACAGTAAAACATGCTGTACACATACAGCACTTTTTTTTTCTAAAACCTGACGGACAGTTGAAATGCAATTTACATGTCCACCTGTAAGTCACATTGCCTTATTTGGTCGTTCCCATCATGTTGGTTTCCTGGGATTCTCCTCCCCTGGGGGTTCCTCTCTGTCAGCCGTCTCACTTTTGTTTCCCCGATTCTTTTTCCCGGCCCCCGTCATTCTGCGGGCCGGCCCCTAACAGGGCTTAATTGGATGTATTAGCTTTGAGCGCTGGCGGGAGTTCAGTGTGTTTCCAGTTAATCATGAGCAGACTTCCCAAACGGCCGGCTCAGTGGGGAGAAAAAGGCTCCGGGGACCAACTCCCAGCCCTGCAGAGAGGGCTGGGAGAGTCTGAGCGCTGGTCTCTTGAGAACGCCAGCAGGAGATTTTAGGGTTTTTTCCTCTTCGAAACACTGGGTTGTTGCAGAGAGTTAGAGAGGCGCACGTATGTCTCTTAACTGAGTTCGACTCTCTGGACAGCAGAGCATGCAGCGATGCAACATTGCCGGCACTACAACTAATAATCAATGACTACGATCCATTATCTATCAGCTCATATTTGCAGTCGTCCCGTGACGTACGCTGCCGTTTGAGGTGAAGTGTTGCTTTATGTCTAGTCTTTGAAGGCGCTGTAATAAAAGCAGACACGTATTTTTACGGCACTCACAAACAATTTGAAAAGCCAATTAAACATCCAGCGTGAAAGCGGCAGATTAATCTTCTGACACCAGACTCCGGACACATTGTTAAACGACCTGGTGAGTTTTAGCGCCTTGCTTCAGAATTTATCCGGCCACATGGCCCGGCTCATCCGTTTTGATGTAGCGTGCCATAGGCTGTCCCCCGCTCTGAAATAAACAGCAGGCCCCCCCATCGTCTGACTTGTCAAGGTGATTCCCAGGTGGGCATGAATCTGCGGTTCAAATATATCCCCTATAACATATATTTAAAGGCTATTCAGGGAGCTGACAGCTGCACGCATTCGCACGTATGTCTTGCCATCCACTTTATTTGTAGGCTCTTTCTCTCAACCTGGCTGACATGGCTTCACAGTATCTGTCTCAGAAATAAGCTTTTCTCAGAGCCTTCTCCTCCACATGGACTTTTACAGAGCTGCAGTAAAACCAGTCGCTGCTTTTGGCTGGCTGACAGAAGACAGGAAGAGCCGGCTGAAGAGAAAAGGTCAGGAGGAGAGAGAAAGGGACTCTACGGCTTAACATCTATAAACGCTTCGTTATTGAGCCTTTAAATGGTGATGGAAGAAAATCAAATAGCTGTAAAGTTTTATTTTGTCCCAGAGTCTCCATGTATAAACAGTAATTATAATTTCTCTTAAATTTCATGATGGAAACCGTAAACTGTGCGGCCATTTGGAGACAGACTGGTGTGATTTGCTAAAGTATTCTCACCAATCAATGACTTTACATTCTTTTGGGGGGTGGGGGGTCATGAACAAAGTAGTACAGATGTTGTTTTGTTTGTTTTTAAAAAAGAATTTTACAAATAATACCATGCATAAGTAGACATAATTTGGGAACTTTTTGCCCAGTTCAATGCGTCAACCATGAACCGTCTTTACGGTTAGTGGTATATAAAATCCCGATTTAAAATAAGCAAACTAGGCTTAGCCTAGGGCGGGGACAAGGAAAGCCTGGAGGCCCGCCAGGCTCATCGTAGCCTGGGGGAAACCCCGTTATGTAATTTTACGTAATAAGCTGATCAAAAGCAGCATATTGCACTGCACTGTTTGAAGGACAGTGGAGTGCAATGCATAACTTTGGCTAATATGTTACATTAGCAGAACCAGTAGATTATTCAATCTACTGGTTGAATAATCAGTTACTGGTAATCTACTAGAACCAGTAGACTATTCAATCTACTGGTTCTAGTTTCCTTCCTGTTGTTACCCTGTCTGACATTGCTCTCAGCTTCTGCTTTAAATATTGCACACAAAAAACCCTCAAAGGTTAAGTTTTATCTCAAACTAACTGTTTTTCACAAAAACAATTGGTTTGGCCATTTTGTCGACATTCTGCCTAAAGCATTTACTGATGCGTCATGCGTAAACTCATTTTTTCTGAAAGTGAGATTCACTGTCGATTCCCGTTCACAGTTGCGCTGCAATGAGTGCAATTGTGAGTGCATCTTCTTTTTTAAACTCCTTTGTGTGTTTCTACTTCCATTTTTATTTTAATTAGTGCCACTTTTTGGTGAAAGTTTAGTGAAAATTTCAATGTAAATGTATCTTCCCCTAACACCAGATGCCCTTCCCTGTGCCTCCAGGCCCTCTGAAAGCGACTAAGCTTCATAGTCCTGCCACCATCCTTCTTTAATAATTGCCTCATACATGAATTATGCACTTATTAATTTTTACGCTCAGCTGAACCCTGTAATGGCGTGTGCTATAGTCGAGTGTGTTGGTAATCAGAAAGCCAAATGAGAAATCCTCGGCCGTGATGACGAAGCAGAAACACACATCAAAGTCAATGCGAACGCAATATGGCCGACCTTGAGCCAAAACGGCGGCGAGCTCCTCCCGACGTCGCGGGGAAATAGCGATTATGTTCACTGAACTGTGAATGCGTGGCCGACCTCATTACGATTATTGTTCCATTTGTTGCCGAGATGGCACTCGGCGTTGATGTAATGGAGTCACTTCATAAAAGGAAAATGACTCGCACGCAAGGTGACAGTCAGTCGGCCAACATGGAAGCCGTCTTCATTCCGGCTTCGCTGTGCAACGCCGCTCTCTGAACGCATGCGCTCCCTCAGTCCTGTCAGATGTGTTGACTGAGCCGTCACGTCTTCATTAGACGTAAACTGACCTCGGGTTCACCAGGGCTCTCTAGCCCTGCTGGCACGAAGGCCTCCAACAACAACGACAGCAACACACGCAGCTTTCCTCCGTCTTCAGGCTGACTGGTGCAGGCCTCTCCAAATAAACTGCGAGAGCCAGGAAAGGAGAATCGAGACCTTTTTTCTCTTTTTTTCTTCCAGATGTATTGAGGGCGAAGCCGCAGTTCTGTAATTAGTACGTTTAGAGAGGGAAGGAGGGTAAACAGAGAGCGGCATGCAGAGAGCGAAGGGAAGCTTTTGAGAGGAAGAGGAGTTATTCAGCTGATTCCTTTTATTCGATGTTCCTCAGGCATCCTGATCGGCTCTGGCGGCTTAGCCTTGTCATTAACAGCTTTGGATTTAATTAGCAGTCATTAAGTCTCTGTTTTAGTGGAGGAGCTCACAAATATTTAATCACTGTTTGGGTAATGTACTATGCGCAGCGTTGTTAATATGAATCCAAAGGGGCGAAACATTTTTATTCGTTTAATGCTCTTTTATTGGTGCGCTGCATCCGTACCAGATACGGTCGAAACATTTAGACTTACACCAGGGTTTCACGTTCACCAACTTTCTTCTTCTTTCCTGAGAAATTTGACACTGAACAAATGAATAAGGTACATAATGGTAAAAAAAAATACAACATTGTTGTTGGAGCTGCTTCACAAAAGAGGGGCGGAGCCAACAAAGCAAACAAACCAATGCAAAGGCTCCCAGGCCAGCGATGATACAATGTTAGTTTTTACAGGTGACGTAACTTGGATCTGAGAATTTCATCTCGCCTAACTTGCATTCCAGCTGCAAGTTTGCAAACCAGTGGGACTTGCTAACTGTTGTCATGATTCATTGTGTTGATTGGCAGACAAACAGAAGTGACTTTTTAACGAAAGAAAAATGAAACAAGAACTTGCAGTGCAAGAAGAGGAACACTGGGAGCGAGGGACAGGAACAAGAGGGAACTGGGTTTCTGATGTTAACAACAGGATCCAGCAAGGAGTGACTGAAGGAGAGGGGGTTAAGTTGTGGCATGTTGATTGCTGGAACAATGGACTGGTACTAATTAGGAAAAAAGATGCCGCTGTGAGGAGAGAGCAGAAGGCAAGCTGAGGGAGAGCGAGGAGGAGACGGCACAGAGGGGCAAAGAGGAGTGAACAAATAGGGGGAATAAAGAATAACTAAACACAATGAATGGAAATAACTATGAACGGATTGATGTAATCAAAACACAGAGCACAAATTATCAAAAGCTCTGAACTCAGGCAAAAACAAAAACGATCCAAAGTTGTAAGCAGTCCCAATCAATCGAAAATCCAGTCCATACTCTGAGTTTCTTTGCATCTAAACTGCAAAGGATCTTGTCATACATACATGTGCGGATTGCTGTGTGCCACCGACTCAACGTCAAACAAGAAGAAGGAAAAGCTTTTCATAAAGTCCAAATCTCTTACTACCTGAACACAGCTGACATGTGAAATGTTAGAGTTGGAATTGATGACATTTTTCAACTTCTCAAGTTGTTTTTTTTGAGGGGTTTTTTATGTTGCTGCTGTGAGGTTGTTTGTTTCTGCGTTCACACTTTGTGAGCCTCGTGAAAATCATTGACGTGGTTGTGAGAAGAAAAAACTGAATTTGAACCTTTTTTGGGTTTTTTTTTTTACCATAAAGAGTCGATATTTAAATTCTGTGGCTGAAATACAGTTAAACCTAAAGTCCTTTTTTACTGGTCTGGCGCATTATTTCATTTGTTTAATCTCATTTTTCAATAGCTATCATAGGAAAATCTAAACATTTCACTTTTAACAAACAGATGTGGATAGTTTGTCTTCCCTTTTGTTAATCTTTATCATTTCTTCACTCGTCTTCCTAGGCTGTGCTTGGAGGCCAGGGACCCCTACTGCGGCTGGGACTTCAGGCAGCGCAAATGCACAACGCTGGAGGAAAGCTCCAACATGAGCCAGTGGAAACAGAACGTCACCGTTTGTCCGGTAAGACCGACCTCGCCCGCTCGCTGCGTTTACTGCACGCATCCACTGGGCTCCGTGCCGTTCGGCCCAAACCCAGCAGATCGTTTGTCTCTGCACGTGGCAGCGTTTACGCCACTGCGTCTGTCTTCTGTTGAAATATCAATAAACAGTGGCGGGCGGCCCTGAGCCTTCAGACGTCAGGAAGCCGCCATGTGTTGAACACATGAAGCTTTTTCTCATCCTTCTATCTGGGAGCTTAGTTTACTTTGCCCAATGAACTGGGCTTGTGAACTGTACTCACCTTGTTTTTCTCTGTAATTACTTAGTGTCTGTTTCTTGGCAATTATGTGATTTCATATCAAAGAGATGCACAAAACAATATAAAGTAGGAAAAGTAAGATTTTGCATGACTGGACGTGTAAATGCACTGCAAAAAAAATAAAAAATCTTACCAAGAGATTTTAGTCTTGTTTCTAGTGCAATTATCTTATTACACTTGAAATAAGGGAAAACTAATGTACAAGTATCTCATTTTAAATAAATATTAATATTGGTGAAAAAGTATTTGCTCCGTTGGCAGATAAATGGACTTATTACAAGACAATTTACCCATGTTATAGTTGCAATAATCTGCTAATTGGACAAATACTTTTACACCATGATTAAGGAATTATTACTCAAAACAATCATGTATATCTTGCTGACAAGTTTAAAAATGAAACAACATCAAATAATTAAGTTTTCCATCAGTAGCTTGAGTGAAGTAAGTTGCTTTTGCATTCCTCGAAAATTCACGTCGCTTATAACAAGACAGGTAGACTTTCTGTCGGTGCACCGTGAAAATGACGCATGTCTTCCAGCTGCGGAACCAGACCGTAGACGGCGGCTTCGGGTCCTGGACTCTGTGGCACCCGTGCAGCAACGACGATGCGCTGGACGGCGTGAGCTCCTGCTGGTGTCGCTCCAGATCCTGCGACAGCCCCGGCCCTCGGTGCGGGGGCAAAACCTGCGAAGGGCCAACCATTGAAGTCTCAAACTGCTCCAGGTCAGAAGAAAAAATGTGTTTATTGCAGCCGTGATATAATTTGTGCTGAGTTATAAATTAGGACATCTGCAAAGTTCTAGCCACTTGAAATGGCTTAAAGTCGCACACATGCATTTCAAAATAAATGCACACAATCAGAAACTCATTCCTTGGCATCATAAAGGAGAATCTTGTTGGAGCTGGAGTGTGGTATTATAAGTCGGGGGCGTTCCAGTAGCAAATTGGAAAACCACTCATTAAGTTGTGCTACATACTGTGAAGCGATGTATTTCTCTTTGCGTTGTATAAACATTCATAAATTGAGGTTGTACAGTATAATTTGCATGACTGATTACATGGGATGTAAATTGAGCTAATACTTATTTCATACTACCATGTTGTATCTCTGAGCAGCCATATTGGAAATTGACCTCTGGAGTGTGTGGAGGACATTTCCCTCAAATTCCAACTTTTGGCAGCGTTGTTGTTGAATTTCCAATTCCAAACTCAGAAAATGACACTTCAGAGGAGAAACAGATTACAGCTCATTTAGCTAGTACGCTGCTAGCATGTGCTAACTAAGATAAAAGAAAGGTACCTAAACTAAACAAGTGTTTTCTAGCACACGCTAACTTCCCTGACACAAGATATACATCTTACCATTTTTATTTTATCACACAGAGGTTCAGTAAAGTGTAGTTGTTGCATGTATAATTTAAAATGGCCACTTGTGAAGAGTTGAGTGTGCAAGAGTTGTTTTGTCTCAAATCCAAACAAACCGGACTCGGTGCGTCACTAAAATCACAAAGCTACGATTACAGATTGTTTCATTGGCATCACACCATAATTGTAGCATTGATTTTAATGACAGGAGGTTCTAGTTTGCCATTTAGGTGACATCAAGTTTCCCCCGGAGAAATTCCTCACTTCCCTTGTCTGCAGCGGAATGGGCCGATCACAGAAGAGAGACAAAGAGTTAAAGCCCTTTCATTCCACTGGATAGCTATGGCAGATTGAATCCTTGGTCTGGAGATTAAATTGTGCTTTTGTAGAGAGTGGCAATTAAATCACGAGGAGAGCTTCCCAGGAACAAAGCACTTAAGCAAATTGAGGGAATGTTTCCTAGTCAGAATTAGCTCGTTTTTTATTTATTTATTTTTCTTCAGAATTAGAACAGCGAGTTAAAAGGCAGAGCTGAAAAGTTATTTTTGTATTCTCTGATTCGGTATGGTATCAGCGCCTTGTGAGAAAACAATGTTAAGTCGTTGGTAGAAAAATCAGGTCTCTGGATAAAAGCTGCATCTGTTGCCATAGAAACGGAGGCTGGACGCCGTGGTCGTCGTGGGGACAGTGCAGCACCACCTGCGGCACAGGCTTTGAGCTGCGCCAGCGCTCGTGCAACAACCCGTCACCCCGGCACGGCGGGCGCGTGTGCGTGGGGCCCAGCAGGGATGAACGGTAAAATGATCACTTTTAAATAAACTTTTGCAATGATTCCCTTAGGAAACTACATTGACAGTTTAATGTTCAAACATAAGCACAAACAAAAATGCTTGATACATGTTGTTTAATTCATAGAAGGAGCTTTAACTCCACTTAATATATAATTTTTTTAATGCTATTGGTACCAAATAGCAATTAAGCTTTGTGGATCCTAAAATCCACAAAATATGGTCATATTTTGCGACTGGACTTAATCATATTTAGAGAAGTTTCCACATTGTGTCTAAATTACATAGTTGTGCATCATATAAAACAATGTTTTAATTTTAACTATATTTAGAAAGGACTCTTATCTTTCCTTACAACAATTCATATCACCATTTTTACCTCCATTGCCTGTGTTTATGTTCAACTCATCCAAAAAATACTTTTATACAAACTTCTTGAATGTTGCAGTAATAGGTTTGAAGACAGACTAGGGCTGAATGGTAAAAGAAAGGTACTTGAGTTCTCTCATGTTATGTCTCAAAATATGTTGGCAGGTAATTTAATGCCTGACCAGCTGTTGATCTAACTTCGCCGTCAAGTGCGATGGAAACTAAATGGGATTTTTTTCTGGTGACGTTTGGCGATTTTCAGCCACATTCTGCAGACTGAGCACCTCCCACCGCTGCTTTCTCAACAGGTTCTGCAACGAGGGGGTGTCGTGTCCTCAGCCCATTTTTTGGACGCCGTGGGCCTCGTGGACCAAGTGCAGCACAGAGTGCGGTGGAGGCGTCCATTCCAGGGTCCGGTCCTGTGAGAATGGCAACACCTGTCCAGGATGTGCGCTGGTAGGAAAAACACACTCACAAAAAAAAAAAACACACTCTGACCCAGAAAATCAGAACTGGTGGCTATGAAATAAACAAATAAACTGATGCAAAACCTGGCATTTTAGTGTTAAACATGAGTTTTGATTCAGCAAGAAAAAGTCAATAAACCATCATCAAGAAATTGAAAAGAAAGAAAACGGATGAAGGTTTTGATGACATGCAGCATAAGTACGACACAAGAAAGAGTCACAACTACAAATGTTTAAATCAATAAATGCGGCACAAAGGATGCTTCTTGTATACATTGAGGGAGAATAACCCAGTCCTGATGTCCTGATGCTGAATAATGTTAGTTTATGTTAAAGTAACTTCATTTCCAATAAACATTAGTGACATTAGTGTGCAACAAAAAAGAAAGAAAGAACATGCATGCCCTCATTTGAAGCTTAAAGGTTTTCGTTTTTAAAAGATATTTTCAATATTCCTCGCTGGAGAAAGATTGAATATTTAGAAAATCTTTTTAGAAGGAAGTTTTTCCAGAAAACCATTTAATCAAAAATAAAATTAAATGAACAACTCCACATTTCTTAAAGAAAAGACACTCCTTTTGAAACGAGTCTAGGTTGTTTTAACGTTAGAAAGAAATCTTTTCACGTGCAAAAAGGCTAACGAAGCTTCTTCTAAACGTAAATAAGACTTTTATTGTATCCAATTTAGAGGTTGTAGCCACAGAAACACATCTGGAGAAAATCCAACGCCTCAGACCAGCTGTCACAGATAGTTATTGTGATGGTGATGATTTGAGCTAAAACCAGCTTAAGAAAAACTGCAAGTATGTAGGATGCTGAATCAGCAACAGAATAGGTAAAAAAATATTAATCTAAGCCAACAGAAAATGAATCTGCAGTGATGTAAAAGACAGCTAAACGCACACCAAATTGATACTTTTTATGTCAGCAGGATACAGCGTTTCTTTGCGTCCCAATTTAATCTGATTTAGGAAATGCTACTTTTCTGCTTTTCACCTATGAATAAAACTTGTCTGTAACTTTCTACTGTGACCTTCAGGAGTACAAGGCCTGCAACCTGGAGGCATGTCCAGAGGTGAAGAGGAACACGCCTTGGACGCCCTGGATGCCGGTCAACGTGACGCAGGGCGGCGCCCGTCAGGAGCAGAGGATGCGCTACATGTGCCGGGCCCACCTGGCCGACCCCCACGAGCTGCAGATCGGGCGCAGGAAGGTGGAGACGCGCTTCTGTCCGAATGACGGGACGGTGGTCTGCGAAACGGACAGTAAGTGGCAGACGCAGGTACAGCTCTGCGTTTGCAGCCGCCAATAAGGCAACTCTATCACCTCAAGATGTCTGATTGCTCAGCTTACTTTTCTTTCGTAGGCTTAACGGCTCGCTTATAGATCACAGAAATAGCGTCGTGCGAGATTCTGAGGTATTGCAAAAGATAAGGACTATTACTGCACCCACTCAATGTCCAGAGAAGACGAAGAGATAAGAAGCATATTTATATCCACAGAGTCTCACTGGAGTTTTAAATTTTGCCGTGTTTCATATTTGCAGCGGTTTTCTGCCATGTAAACCAGACGCGGCTTTCAAAGAGCCGGACCGAATACATTTGTCCTAATATTGGATTTTATTTTGATGCAGCTGTGATCGATGGTGCGTTGCCTGCCTTTCTACAGCCCATTGACATTTCCATAATTCTTTTCCCCAAGCAGCAGATAACATCAGTGTCATGAATTAATATCTTTTTCACCGAAGGAATCTTGATGCTTACGGTTTTGGGGCTATTTTACGTGCTACGGCGCATTTTGTGGCTCGCCTTCAGGCTTGTGCACACCTTGAGCTGCCAATCCGTGCCAATAATAAAACAGCACTCTCTCTCTGTGGGTTATTGTCAGACAGTGTAGATCCTATAACGATAATATTGCTAAAATGCTTCCAGCATTGCCAACATGTTTAGACACATTGCTAAAGCTCAAAGAGATAAAACGGAGAATATTTAATGCGCTTCATTCAGCCTTCCTGTTATCTGCTGAATCTGAACTCCTTTTAAACATCTTCTTACATATTTGTGCCTCCTGACCTCACTGTAATAATGGAAGTATCAATCTTCTTCAGTTCAAAAGCTTCTACACCAAAGAGTGTTGTTAAGACGTCAGCTGGTGGCACTTATGTTGTGTGTTGATTGTTTTGGAAAAAGACAGGATGTTTGAGTTTTAAACCAGATGGTAAAGAGACTTGTTAAGCTGAAATTTGGCTTATTCTGGTCCACTTATCAGGAGATAAACCTTATACTTTGCGCTTCCCTAGCAAAAAGCATCTCCCTCCATTGACACATACGTCCCACATTTAAATGAGGGACTCTCCGTGTTTTTGAGGGGAAATTCTGCATTTATTTGTGTGTAAATTACAGCTGTAGAAAATTAGTTTGCATTCTTAAAGACCATCATCATTTGCATCTGCATGTATCCAGGGCGTCTGATGCAAAAATAAAGCTTACCCCACATGCAAAACATTGCAAAAAAAAAAAAAGTTAGCAGATTGCACCACTTTGTGAATTCCCATTTGAAACGCAGTCAGGGTAGAACCAGGGTCCAATTTCAAATTGTCCATCTGTTTGCTGCAGCTGTTTTCATTCGTACAGATTCCAAAACAAGCCCTAAAAATGACATTGTGGTCAGTAATGAAGATTGATTTTATAGTTTACAGGAATTAGAATTTGAAATAGTGAAAAACCTGCGAGTGACCTGGAGCAGCTGTCATTTAGACAGCAGACGTCCACTTTTAGGGCTCTGAGCAAAAAGCGCCAGGAGCTTCACAAATAAATAATAATCGTTGCATTTATTTAGAAGTTGTCAGATATGAGGGAGGTCTTGTCCATGTCAATGATATGATCCGGTGACGCTTTGTGTTCAACAAAATGGAAACTTTTGACTGTATTGGACGTCTGCTGGCAGTTTCTGACACGCCGGCGTCCATGTTCAGTCAGGAATGACATGAACATGCAGAGACGCATGCCGTAAACATGTGGTGACAGAGAGGCTGTAGCTTAGCATGAAGAGCTAACACCAAGAAGACCTTGCTGCAAATTCAGGTATATTTATCTTCTTGGCAATTACCAGGACGTGGAGACGTAGACGAACTGTCTACAACCATCAACAGCTGTTCCAGGTGTTTCAAAAAGTAACAGACACAGATATCTAGACGCACTACAGTGGGAATGTCTGACAAGGTAGCAGACGAGAAGCAAGCATGTAAAGATTTCTCCCAGCAGATCCATGACACACCCACAAATCCCCCTCCGCCCCGTCAGACCCGTTAGCTCCACTACACGCTGTTAGTGACGGGCTCACAGTTCGGTACTAAACACACCCACTGACACACAGGGCGTCGCACACAGCGGCAGACTGATGTTTGCCACTGGTGGCCTTTTCACAGAGCCCTCTCCCACATTGATTATCTGCCTCCCCTTGTCAGCCTCCCGCGGGTCGGCTGCATCGACTTTAAAAAGCTGATGAAACACCGACAGCAGGGAACTGTGGGATGCAAAAGATACAGAGAGACGGTGAAAAATGCCTCTTGGTCTCGTCCTGCTCGATTTGCATGCTTCCTGTCGCTGTTCGTTGGTTTCAATCCTGAATATACCAGCAGTGGTTATGATTCTTCACCTTGAATCAAACTTGGGTACTTTAATGGGGTTTTTTTTTTATCTCTATCTGCAGGCCTGGTGGAAGAGTTGCTAAAAACGCCAGTGGTGAGAACGGCAGGGACGAGCTGGTCGTCGTGGGAGACCTGGTCCAGCTGCTCTCAGAGTTGTGCCAAAGGTTACCGCACCCGTCGGCGGACGTGCTCCGGACCGGAGGGGAAGAGCGCCCCCGTGGCATGCCGTGGCTCCCCGGTGGAATACCAGGACTGTAACGTGCAGGCGTGTCCCGGTGAGTGAAACACCAAACAGGTTGTTCAGATCAGATTCCAAATCTGCGTTTAGTTTCATAATCGTACTTGAGGATCCGAAAGAATATCCTTCATTACTCACATCGCAGTACCTCTTGTCACATCATCTCTGAATTGCCGCCTTTGTAATACTGAAGGTTATTCTTTGTTTAAGACATAGTGGTGTAGATGAGCCTGCAGTATCTGTGAGATATTTCAGGTATTTCAGAATGACTTCCTATTTTGGGAAAGAACAACTCCCTTTGGTTCGGGCATAAGAGCTATAAAACACATTGAGTGCACATAGAACCCCCCCAAAAGCCCAGTAAGGTCCTGTTATGGAAAAAAAATACTGTTATTGCACTTTGTGAATTATAGACTGAACTGCACTTGTTTCCTGTGAAATGTGCTGAAGGGTTGACTCCTAAAAGAGTTAAACAAAACTTGTCATTTTAGAGGGGACTTGCAAAAAATCTTAGTTGTATTTTTATGGTATATTTAAACTAAAATATACCATAAAACACTAGATTTATGAAAATCTAGTGTCTGATTATGAAATGGAAGGGTAATGATGCATGGTTTTCATATTGTTTTCACTTTACCAGCTGTGCAGATCAAAATACCCAACATATGCTGGGTAGATGGTGCATACGAACAATGCTTTTTAAGAGTCTCAATTGATTTTAACTCTAGACTTTGACTAGACCATCCTGACACGTGATTATGATTCAATCCTAAATGAAACTCTGGCCCTCTACCAGTCCGAAATCCTTTGAATCTTCTAGTAAAAGAGGTTGGTCCATTTCACACGTAGGACAAGGAGTTCAACATTATTTAGTTTTCTATTTTTTTCACTGGGGGAAACATGTTTCCAAATTTTCAAGATCCAAACTGTCTATCTGAGCAATTTGCATGCAGACATTTCTCAACCAGTTGAAATTTGCTGTCGTAGCATGGCAACATGGGGGAAAAGGTCAAAGGGTATCAATTCCTGTCCAAGGCACTGTGTGGCAAGTTTTAATGTCCTGAAAATGGAATATTAACTGCAAAGAAACAGATTAATTTTCTTACAAGTGATGTCTGAAGAATACTTTCCAAATGTAAAACATTAAGTTTACTCGTTAGCTTTCCTCAACAGCAGCTCTTTCTAATAATGTACTTACTGTAGGGGAAAATGCAAGAAATAGGCTGATGTAAAGTCTTTTATGCTGACGTCTCCAGCACATTATGGGCTCCTATAGAAAAGGGAAGCAGAAAAAAGAGACGGTTATAGAGACAGAGTGCTGGGGGTCAATGGTAGTTATAGAATACTGCTGAGTGGGCAGTTAACTTCATTAGCTAATGGTTACCAGCAGCCGCAGCTGAGCAGGAAGAGTTGGTGGACAAATGAAGTGATCTGTTCCAAACTCCTCATCAAACCGTCATAAGCAGCTGACCCGGGAGGCAGGGACAGGCTCGTCTTATTAATTACGCACACACTCCTTAAAACAGACAAACACATAAAACGAGTAGACCACGGCGAAGGGTCTCCTCTGAAGAGATGGACCTTTATCTTCTCGCCTGATATCTTATGAATTATTGATTTGTGTTTGGCCGCTTGAATCTGCGTTTGAATGTTAATTGTTGCCATTCAGACAAAGACCTCTGTGGCCGAGACGTAGAGACGTAACCTCGGGTAGCCCAGATTGCAGCGAAGAGTCATTTTGCCAGTTCTGTCACGTTTCCGCGTGACCCCCCAACAGAGGAGAGAATGAGTGTGAAATAGTAATTGACGATGAAGTTAGAGGGCAGGACGGAGGCCATGAAGATGGCCGAAAAGATTAAGATGTAATGTTGCCGTCTACGTCTGTGCAGTGGAAGCAGTTGTCTGCTGGTGCGATCGGCGAGGCGGCGAGAGGACAGAGCTCCGACTTTCATGACGGGAAGTTTGGACTGAACAGCAGTTCAATCTAAAGCTAAATTCCAAAAGAACAAATCCCATTTCACTTTTGAGAGTCGAGCGTGAATTTGTCAGCAGCATTTTTAAACTTTAAAAGACCCTCTTCTCTAGAGGAGTTTTTGATTCAGTCACAGAGCCGCTCCTCTTCTTTGTCAGACGAGGCAAACTGAGTCTCAGGAGTTATCAAATGAACCCTGCAGCACCGAGAGTAAAAACTCTGAACATCTAACAGTAATTTTCAAAGTCACACTGCTGAAGTTTTGCTCTTTGACAATTACTTTTACATTGTGGGGTGAACTGAAAATAATTTGTGCCACACTTGTTTGCGAAGAAGAAAAATAGCAATACTATTAAAAAACATGGGCGTTTTTTAACAGAATTGGAAATACCACAGTTTATGACATCATGGTGTTTAGCACAATCGATGATGATGGATGGAAATCTTATTGACGGTATGGTAATTATTAAAACGTTTTTTCAATTTAATACGCCAACATTGGTAGAAGAACAACTATCTGTAAACATTAATATGTTCACAGATAGTTTTTGCCAGTCTGTCCTTTAAGCCGTACCTTTTGGAGGCTAACAGGCTGATATTAGTGGGTTCTGAAGTGAAATGCTGAACACACACTGGGCTGCAACCCACAGAGTTTCCCGGCAGCCAAACTGTTTCTGTGTGGTAGCCGTCTTTTAGCTAGCTGACCAGTGGTGTGCAGCAACAGGTGGGGGAAGGGAAGCGCTGCCCATTCCCCGTTTGTGACGACGTCCAACAATAATTCTCAATATGGTTTTCTTTGAATTTTTTAAAAATTTGACTTATTTGTCGCTGCCCATTAAGTCTTGATTTTTGATGGATAACCAGAACTGTTTGACTAACGAGGCTAGTATAAAAAAACAAACCTGTCCCATTTATTGCATTGAGAACAACTCTAGTTTTCATCTGTTCACCACTTTTCTCTCAACTTTATTCATCAACATTTTTGCCATTTTGTACCTATAAACAAACCGGCTTGTACCTGTGTAATTAATCCGATCCTACAATTTAATTTTAGCCGAGTGTTTTCATAAACATAGGAGACAACCAGTGCTCAAAATGTTTAGACTGAAAACTGTTTATTACTCTCATGTTCTACTTTATTTTTGTCCTGATTTCTGTTGACTTTCTAAATATTATGGCGGACAAAGTCTCCAGCTAACCATATATGCTGGTTGATTTAATATCTCATTACAGACTATAAATGGGATATCAAGATAATTGTCTGTCAGAGCAGGTACAAAATGTTCCCAGGTACAAATTGACACTTGGTATGAAACTTCCTGCAGGACCAACGCAAAAGCAGTTGAAAAAAAGCATGAGTGTCAATTTTAAAGAGTAGAACTTGATTTCCCTGATAAATCTGTTCTAGCTAAGCTGCTGTTTTCATAGTTCATCGATGTGACTTCCTGTAACTCGGCGAGTCAGATCCTCATCCAGTCAGGTTAGAGTCAATCAGTCAGAGATGTGGCTCGCCGCGAGAGCCGGTTAGTGTTAAATAGTAACATCCTGCCTGTCTCTCTGCCGTCCTCTCTGCTGAACGAGCCTCCAGTCTGCCTCTCAGGTTACCTGGCAACGTCGCCTCCCTGCCTCCGTCAGACAGACATCAGCCAGTCAACCAGACGGTCAATGAGTCACCCACACTTTTCTGATTAGATCAGACGAGGCATTAGCAGTCGGGAAGAAGAAATCAGTACGTTACTCAGCTAGGAGGAGGCGAGATCAGTGAGACGGCGGCAGAAGAGCAACAACGTGTCATTTATGTCCCACAGTCATCCCTAGTTTACAAAAAAAAAAAAAAAAAAAACACATGTAAATATATGGAGCGAACTGAAGTTGAAGACAGATTGCATTTAATGTTGTGGGACGTGTGGAAACCTCAGTTTGATGGGTTGGGTTAGAATGGGTGCAGCTTTGTTAGGCTTAATTTTGTAATCCTTTGCAAACTTAATTCTGTGCTAAATTTTGATTTAAAAAAAAATAAAACCAGATGCAGCTGTCCAGTGGGTCTGTTAGCTTTCAGTCATATTTCTAGACACATTTGAGTTGAACAGAGACTTTAAACACTAACTAGAGAAAAACATCTATTGTATTAATATGCTGTACCTTTTGAACGATTCCCACACTGATGTATTTTTATACCTACATTTTTTTTTTTTTTTTATTGCAGATATCCATCACTGAGAGTCCTAGCTGAGTTTCTCGACCAAAATCTGAACTAAAATGAACCGCTATTGGCAGTGATCCAGAATACGAGTCAACCAGAGCAATTTGGAAATATTTCTGGTCGGTCTGACTCTCTTGTAAGAAAGAAACATATAGCAGTCCTCTTTCAGCCAGCTGAGTAACTGTGCGCAGCGACTACTTCACCGTAGACGATGGGGAAGATGTGAAAACACTGATACAGGGCAACCTTCAGATCTAAATTGCTTGAAAGTAAACCCACATCTGTGCAGAGGACTGCGCAGCTGGGTAGAAAATCAAAAAACAGTTGTTCTTATTCATATTTTATTTGTTTGCCCTTTAAATTCGCGGCTTCGTTTCTATAAGTATTCCCATAACATCTCCCTTGAACTGCTCTTCTTGGAGTTCAGTCATTTGACCCCTGTGGACATTTTGTTATTAGATAGAAACTGAAATGAATCCAGGGTTGTGATAAGAGCTCGCCGTTCCTCACAGAGCGTGATATTCCAGTGTTAAATGGCTTCCATGCTGCTTTGCACCATACATAAAACCAGCATAAACTAATGCAGCTGTGTGTGTGTGTGTGTGTGTGTGTGTGTGTGTGTGTGTGTGTGTGTGTGTGTGTGTGTGTGTGTGTGTGTGTGTGTGTGTGTGTGTGTGTGGGTGTGTGTGTGTGTGTGTTGCAGTGAAAGGCGCTTGGTCCTGCTGGTCTCCCTGGTCTCAGTGCTCAGTGGGCTGCGGTAGCGGCCACTACCAGCGGACACGCTCTTGTAACAGCCCCGCCCCCGCCAACGGAGGAGACATTTGCATCGGCCTGCACACCGAGGAGGCCCTGTGTAACACACACACCTGCGACGGTAAGGTCTCGCTTTAAAGTCAACGCCGCAACTCAGATCTGACTATTCATTGCGCCTCCCAACAACATTTGTGTTGCTCTCTATTTTGCCTCATTATGATCAGAAATCTTAGTGACACACCAACAGAAATGTTGCGTAGCGTAAGAGAAAAGATATTCATGCTTTACAAATTTGCGAATAGTTACAGATGAAACTTAACACATATTTATTTTCAGCCTCCTGTTTAGGCACGTTAACATGGACACAAATCATCTTAATTAAAATGTGAGCAACAACGGCGTGGTTTATGCCAAATGATATTTACGTGCTTGAGTGACACGTAAATATCCAAATGAAAATCTGTGGCTAGACTCGAAAAGATGTTCACAAACACGCTTCCTCCAGTCAGAGTCAGCTTGCAAAAATGTCTTCAGACGTTCGAACGCTCCCGTCTTTCCAGTGAAAAGCTCACAGTGCAAAGATTTGTATCATATGTGCCGAGTTCAAACACCAAATCCCACTGGAACACATTGAAGATTGTGACTTTGACATGACAAAAGATTAAGAAGGGTTTGAATACTTACGCATGGCGCTGTATGCCATGTATGAGTCGGCTTCATAATTGTTTTGTTGGGCTTTTTTTCTAATGAGTTAAAAGAGTCTTCCATGAAATGGGTGGATAAACATTCATGCTGAGAAAACAAGGCGCCCCTCTTGCTGTGCAGCTGGAGTTCAGTTCTGCTGGGACTCATATGGAAACTTTTGCATAACACATCCGAATGTTTGGCAATTCTGTCTGTGAGCAGGGTGTTGATATTACTAAAAATATCAGAGCGAAATGTTTACATTTTTTATTTTTTTTATTTTAGGGCCTCGTAACTTTTTTTCTTTCACTCTGTCCTAAAAACTATTTCTCCTCTCACTGGAGTCACTGTGGAGGCAAATTGAATTTTGTTTGGAGGCTCCAAAACACAGAAACATTTTAAAGTGGGTTTTTCTACCAGGCGTCAAAATCATTGAGAAGCCGCATTAGCTACAAGTGGCCAAGAAAATGCAAGCAGTAGTTGTAGATGAGCAATAAAGCAATCAATAAATAAAACTAGCTGTCGACTGCATCGTTTTCTAAAGCTGCTAACTTGTGTCATTCACAGAGTGTTATTCATTAACAACTCCTCAGCAAAATGAAACAATTCATTCCACTTGAACTTTTTTTGTTGTTGCAGTTTTACTATAAAAACACAGAATCTTACATATTTTATATCTTCAAATATCTTTGTACACTTTAAATAAGACTAAATTAACTTACATGTAGAGGAGTTTGTTGTCATTCCTTAATGTTGTTGAAAAAAGTCCTAGCTCCCCTGGCAGATGATTTCCTTTATAATGAGACACTTTCCCCCTTTTTACACTTGAAATCATCTGCCAGTGTAGCACTAGAGCGTTTTAAATCTATGTTTAGGAATTATTTACTTAAAAAAGCTTCTGTATCTTGCTGGAAAGTTACGTTTAAGTTCGTTTTGTTTTATTTGAAGTATACCAAGATATTCTCGCTGAGAACTGGACAAAAACCCTTGGTAAGGTCTTTGTGTTTTTGCAGTGTTGTCGTCGTCGTAACCACAATTATTAAATATGCTTTGTTGTGTTTCTATGTGGCAGAACGCCACGAGGTGCAGCATCAGTGCAGTCTCTCCATTCAGGCTTCTTGACCACTCTGTGTACCTTACTTAGCTTGTGGCAAACATCGAACTGGACTTCTTGTTTCTGGACTTCTTGTTTCGTCACTCGTCGAACCAGATTTGCAGAGTGCATGACGTTCCTTGTCCTGTTGAGAGCTTCTTGCACCTGAGTGATGGGTCTTTACAACTTTTCAGAGTAACCGTGGTGCCTCTTTCCAGTAGAAAGCATGTCAAGGTCCCGGAGTGGCTGAGTCGTCCTCCGGGCCTAAACTCGATAGGAAGTCTATAGAGGGAGCAGAAACTCTGCGTTGCCTAACCCTAACCCGAGCAGCCTGGAGTAGATCTGCATGGAGGAGCGAAGCCAAGATGTCTGCCGTGGGGCAAACCTGGTCAAGAACTGCAGGAGACATCTGACCTCTGTCTGTAAATTAATTCAATTGATTTCCCTTTCTGGGTCAATTAAACATTTTTAAATTGAACTGTATCAAATTTTAACTTCTCGTTTTCTGTTGTGTCAAATTTTTATGTTCTGCAATATCTACTTAAAGATTACACATACATGATTGATGTGTACCTATGATGTAATTACAGACCTCTCCATTCCCTACTGTACCTAATTTCCTTACAGATGACAAAGTAAATTAGGTTGAATAAATACCGTTTGCACTGGCACACGTTTGAGACTTTTGCAAGATGCGGCGTGGGAAGTATAAGAATCGTCTTCTTCCTTTCCGTTCCCACATGGTCACCAAAAGATTCATGACATCAGTTTCCTAATCCGAGATGATTAGAAGTCCGGCATCAGATCTCCTAGGGTTTCTTCCTTTGTTTGATGTCAAATGACCAGTGTGTGTTCTCCTGGAAATCAGAAACGACCCGGAGTCGTTGATGTGTGAAGCTTGCGTTTCGACACCTGACTTGCATTTGTTGTTGTCCGTCTGAATTAAACGACTGCGTCTCCTGAGCTGTCATTTCTCTCAGATGCTTTTCATTCTGAATCAGTCGAACTGTCATTCACAGACAGACTAATGCACACCACCAGCCTCCCTGGTAATTACAGAAAGGACCTAATGGCTTTGTGGCTCCCCCCAGTCGCTAGACACTAATCAGGCTCTGTTATATCATCTTAATGCTTTTCCTGTTTGACATAAACCAACACATCCGGTTAGCCCCGCATCAGGCCCAATCCGTCTGCTTGTCTGCTCATCCGCTGGCGAGCAGGAAAACCCTCATCTATCGGCGGCGTCCTGGTGCAACAGCTATCTGTGCATTTTATTGCAAAGTTTAAAAAATACAACAATCCAGATTTGTCGGATAACCTCCGATTGTTGGTTTTTGCGCAGTTTTACCTGCCACTACGGGCTTCTCCTTAAGATCCATAATGCTGAATATTATTCAGTCTGTTTGTGTGCATGCCGGCTCACATGTCAGGCAACAATCAGTTCATTCAGCCCACCTGTGCCTGCAAACCGCTTTCTGATGTCGATTGGGAAAAAGTTCAGCGTTTAATCTGCACCAGCTGTAGTTTTTATGCCAGGCCACTAGATGGCGCTGTGATTTTAGCACATTATCAAACACGCATGAGCTTTTGACACTTAATTTCCACCTCATTGGCTTCCACCAGTCCCCTGTCTCCCAAGAGCAAAGTGCTATACAACATAGATATACCTTATCAGAAGTTTTGCTAAGCTAAACAGGTTAAGTAGCGCAATGCTATCCGCTATTGATTGTTATTTGTCCCTGAAGGCGAAGCTTAAATCCTACAGTCGTGAGTTCTGCACATGTACTTTACATCTAATGTGTCACAGAAAAAGCTTAAGATAATGTCAGATGTTAGAAAAGTACACACGTCACATAATTACTAAATTTGCCATCATTTCCAAATTGACCATTTGCAATTAACTCCCAAGCTTTCTCGCCATCTCCTGTACGTCTCACTCTTTCTCGCCGTCTCGCAGCCTGAATAAATGGCAGACATGTCTCGACATTTTCCAGACCTTCGACCGTCTCTGCGACCAAAAATATCCCACTGACATTAAAAATCACCCTTTCTTCTTCACTTATTACCACCAAAGATTGCTGTAAGTGCGACACAGTACCACTTCCAGACGGCTGGTCCGGTCGGAGTCGATCGAGGTTGAAACCCGGCCACCAGCAGATATCCAGGAGCCTCTCTGGTACATGTCGTCATGTGAGCTGTGCATAGCTTGGGTTTTCTGGATGGAATACCGACAAGAGCGGGAGATTTTATAATTGTTGCTTGGTGTTTTTATTTGCCCAGAGGCTTTCGCTGACAGGAGGGAACAGATTGTGCTGACAAAGCGGCAGGTTGGTCGATCCGGGACTGATAGGAAAGGTAAAAGCGGTCCGTCCTCTTTCTTTTGACAGAGACTCCTTCTGCCAAAGCTGTGGAGCAAGCTGAGCACCAAACTAACTCTGTTTATTGGTCTTTCATCACTGTGCCCTGTGCTCCCTCCACTCCACTGCTCTTGGATGCAGGGCAGAAGAGCGCGACAGGCGTATAGTTCAAAGGGAGGCTCTGAAAGCGGGAGGTTTTCTTTTTTTTTTCCTATTGGATAGGAGCTTTTGTTTACTGCTTGGTTGCCTGCTGCAGGGAAACAGGACTGAAGCCTGGCTTGGGAGACAAATATCTCTGCTATGCACTGAACAGTCTTTAGGTTTCACTTTTTTTTTTTTGCCTCTTTTTGGTGTGTTTGGGTTGCTTGGTGGTGAGCGCTTGGGGGAGGCCTCGTGGTTTCCAGGCCATTCTGGGTCTAACTTAACCCTCTGGACGTCTTTATTTGTGATTTCTCTTCTCTGTTTTCAGGCGGATGGATGGCCTGGTCTCTCTGGTCAGCCTGCGACGACTCCGGCTTCCAAACCAGGAGTCGGGTATGCGGCGCTCAGGGGGGCACCCCCTGTGTGGGGAACAGCACCCAGCGCAGGGACTGCAATGAAATACCCGGTGAGCCAGTCGACTCTCCTGTACTCCTTCCAGGATGTCACAAGGTGGGCTGTTCGGACGCAGAAAGAGAAGCTGTTAGGCTCAATTAGAATCCCAATCAATCCCAATTAATCGCATGGACAAAATGACCAACATTTTCAATTCGAAAAAACCCTTGTTGCTGCTAAATCATTGAATAAATAGACACGAATTGAACAGCAAAGATATTTGTTCAACCATCATCAGATTGCTGTAAAGTGCCACTCAGCTTCCGATAGTTTCTGGGACCCCTGATCATTCACTAAACTTTGGAAGAAAAAAAACTTCAGTAAAATGATGGATGTCTATTTCTGCAAAATGTTTTGCATTCAGATGCTATTTTAGGCTTGATTAGCTTCTGTGTTAGGGTAACTCCTTTTAGTACAACTTGCACACAGCAATAGTCTTTTCCACCATCCCAGTAGATTGATATATTTTTTTTTTTACCCAAAAACGACCCTCCGCCCCCAAAGCCCTCGTCGTCCATCGCTGCTGTTTTGTGCGCCAGATTTATGCGCCGTACCAGGAACACACAAATGCAACAGTTCCAGCTCTGGACTTTTGAATGTGTAACAAACAATTTTTGACACATTAAAATATATGTGATTAACTAATCAAAATGAATGCGCTACAGTCCCAACCTTTTTTAATGGCGTGGCCTCATTTGTTTTTCCCGGAGTTACAAACACATTACAAGCTCTTGCTCTCCCTTCTCTTACGTTTACCTTGATGTCAAAAATTGGAAGTATGCTTACTGTGTGCCACATTTTTGCCTGTGAGCTGCTGGTAACTATAATTTCCTGAGGGAGTCTTCCCAAGGGATCAATAAAGTCAAGTCTAAGTCTCTCTAAGTCTAATTATTTTAGATTGAGGAAAAAGTTGCATTTAAACTCAAATGCCGCTAAGACATGTCGCTCTGTTTCGAACACAAAATCACAGCTTTTAATACTTTATACAGGATGAAGTGATCTGATCATTCAGCCTCCTGATCGTATGAGTCTCTCTTCTCTTCAGCACATCACATAGTTCATCCATTTAGATCGTGAGACAACAGGGGAAAATGGTTTTATCAGAATAACTTTATCATTGCCCCCATTTTCCTGGCAGAAAGGTGGGGGGGAAAATAAAGGTGAAAGGTGATTCTATATCTGCTCAATCATTTCTGTCCTGATTTCTCAATGCACTTCAACAAGGTTTCCATGGCGTTTGGTAGCGTCTGATATTCTGATACTACTGAAAATCCACCATGTTATCAGAATCTGGTGCTTTTTGACACCTTGGCCTTTTGTTTCTCACCTGGAGTGTTTGCTCCTCACAATATGTGGAGTGTAGCTTCAACCGATCGAAGCACATGGTTCCTGCAGAGTTTAGCCGTATTTACATGTTTATGTTATAATGATAGAAAATACGCTTGTCTCTCTTATAGCTCTCAAACACTAGGGGAGTTTGATTATCGTGTTAATCTGTTTGTGGTTGAAAGCGAATATGGTTCCTTCTCCCGCCTGCAGAGCCAGAATGATGGGTCCCTCTAAAATATGTTTAAAATGCAAGGATAATCCTTCAGAAATTTCATAAACGTTCTGATTGACTTAAAAATCTAAATTACAACAAGCTAAAAACCTGTTGCATTTGTTCTAAAGGCTACTCATTGTGCTATTGGTGAATGAAAAAACAGACATACATCCATATAAGCAGCTGTATTAAAACTGCATATTTAATCCTACCAGATGACACATTAAATATTCGTGTCGTCCCACACGGCGTTAAAAGGAATCCATTTATTTGGATTCTTTTCATACATTTTCGCCATATACAAAAGGTGCTCTAACTCTCCTCACCTAGAAAGAAAGACTCTACGTAATTGTGCGCTTTTTATTTATTTTTCCAGTATCATTTAAGGCTGAAAACCTCCTTTACATTAGTCATGAGAGGAAGCAGTAGACCAGATCCAACGATATTTAGATATGGATAAGCTGTTTGGTCTAAGCAGTAGTTTGTACTCTGAAGTTACTGTTTAGAGATTAGCTCTTAGTCATACGATTGTATGTTCAACGCATCCTTTACTTAGTCTCTCTTTATAAAATGCTGCAAGTAGCATCTTTGAAAAAAAAGTATTTAATGACCCTTCTTGTCATTAAATACAAATCATCATGATTAAGATTCATCCCCACAGTCATCCTCGGTCATAAGCTTCGATAAACACAAACGTGTGTGTGTGTGTGTGTGTTTCAAATCCTGGCCCTGTAAGCCAGTCTCTGTTTGTTAATTGCGCATAATTAGGTGTGCGTGAAATGCAGTAAGTCAGCAGTTCACCCGCTCGGCCCTCAGCACACCTTGTTATGCTGATGCTGATCTCAGAAACTTTCTCCTGCAAGGATCTCTGGTGGGCCGCCAGCGCGGGACCCTCCAGTCTCTGAATCCCTAACGAGACGAGATGAAGGCGATTAATATTAATGGGACATCACAAACAGCAAATCACATTAGGCTTTATTGTACATTTCAGTGTCTCCTCCTGCAGGAGGAGTTGGGGGGGGACATATTAGCAAAGAAAATTAATCAGCAAATGAGGTTCTGCAGTTAAACGCGTCGACTCGCACGGACACACGTACGCGCGTTTGTTTGCTTCAAGTTTGCAGAAAGACAAGATGCACAGGACAAGTGAAGAAGTTTTTCTGGTGTAAAACGTCTCTAGTAAAGAAAGGTCCAGCCTGACTGAACGAAACTTGGGAGGGAGGGAGCATCGAGTTTCACCGATACATTAAATTAAAGCTGATCCCTGCGGACCCTTTGCACAACAACACGGTGAACTCATCTCAGTTTCTCACGTTCCTCATGTCTTGTTCTCACTCCTGCATGTTTCACAGTCGGCGTTTGTGCTCTGAAGCCCGTTTCTCCGGGGCGCAGTGAACACATGCATGTGTCTGCGTGTGTGTTTGCATGCCTGTTTGTGTGTCTGACTTGTATTCCTCTCCTCTCCGCAGTCATTCTCCCGGCATCTGGTTTTGATAAGGACCAACAGTGCGGAGGTAAGTGGATTAACGGCTCGTCCGAGCCCGGCGCATGCTCAGGTTTGGCGTTGCCCCTCCGGCTCCCTTTATGTTTCCCACAGATGTCTGGAACGCCGTGTATGTCTTCATGCATCGAATGCGCATTCTCATGTGTGCTGTTTCACTCACTGTAAAATTTTAGAGATAGAGTCGCGCTCTTGCGAGTCTGGTCCACTTTCAATAGACTTAAAAAAAATAAAATAAAACGGTGATCCCAAAGTTCCCCGAATAGTTGTTGAAAGCAGGTTGTGAGAAGAAATAAATCATTCAGATGTTATTCACCTGACAAGCCAAGCGTGGAAACTCTCAAGCAGGCATTTAGGAGCTGCTGTGTGTTATAGTGGAGCACAGTAATTGAGGTGATAACACTTGAATACGGGTCAAAACAGATGTTTTGGTAAACAGTTGTTTTTTTCAGCATATTGTACAATAACATGTGGGAACTTAAGTGAACCAGCCGGGTGAAAAGTTGAGCTTCCTTATTCTATCCTCTTATATGCAGGATGTTTAAAAAAAAGGTGAATTTTTCAAAAATATTAAAGTCAATTTAACTCATTTAGACTTACCACCAAGTCATCCGGGACTAGTTACTGTGAAATATCGTCTCTGCTGCCCAGATAGTCAGCTGTTAGTGTGTCGTGGTAATATTTTATAAAAAGCCATCTTGGTTTGATGTTTTACAGAAGACGTTAGCACTTCATCAAGACTGTGGAAACATGAAAATTGCCCTCACCAACGTCAGCAACTCGTAGAGTAATTCATTCCCTCACAAAGACTTTTCCCATGAAGATGAATCTGTGCATCACCTCAAAGCTGGATCAACCCCGGCGGAAATTGTTGTGTTTTTTTTTTTTTTTTGACCTTTCCTTCTTCCAATGCCTGGAGATCTTCTTTCGAAGATACGTTGTTATTTCCTAAAGCTTCTTATCTGCAAAATGACCAATAACCTCTCACTTGGAGTGTTTGATGCACTTCATCCTTACGCAGCTTTGATCGTTCGATGATGTGTCCAGACCGAAGACTCCACACACTCCCGACGAATCCCGGGTCGGGAATCTTTGTCAGCCGCTTCCTGATTTGGTCCTCGCTTTCTCAGTCGGATCCATCCCTCTTACTTTATTTATGTCTCCAGAAAAAGAAAAGAGAAAAAAAAAATTCAAATAGGATGGTGGCATATGACATAATCTCTCTTTCACATTTCAGCCCCAACCAATTATAGATGTCCGTTCAGTGTTGTAAATGGATAAAGTGACCGGGAGCAGCCTTGCATGTCATCTTTGAACCGGTTCTAAAGTAAAATAGCTCCAGCGGGAGAAGTCCCAGCTGTAAATTGTTCTTCATAAAAAGGGAATGAAGTCATGGCGTCGGGATGAATTATCACAGCGTACCCACCCGGCCTGAAGAGCACACCAATTTTTACCCGAGCACCAACTTTTGTGAAAGGGTAATATGCTGATCGTTACGGCGATGTTGGCTGATGTGAAAATCTCCTCGCCTGAATAAAAGTGTATGTCAGACCTTTGCTGACATTCCCGTGTCGTTTCCATTTGTCAGCCTTCACCTCCATCCACCTCATCGCCACCGGCGTTTCCTGCTTCCTGGGGGCGGGGCTGCTGTCCTTCCTCGTCTACGTTTACTGCCAACGGTTCCACAAGCCCTCGCAGGAGTCCGCCGTCATTCACCCGACCACGCCGAACCACCTCAACTACAAAGGCAACACCACACCAAAGAACGAGAAGTACACACCCATGGAGTTTAAGGTAGGAGCGAGGTGAACGTTTGTTCACCTAATCTTTCTCCAAGTGGCGTCCGGTTCGATTGAATGCTTGTGTTCATCCGGCTATCTAAATACTGCGTCCCACACCAGATCGATTACTTCTTATTTGTGCTTCTTCTTTGTTTTTTTGTTGTTGATGTTTTTGCAAAACTTTGTTGTGTGACCTTGTAGCTGCACCTCCTTATTTATATGTTTTGTGAACTTTAAAAAGCTTCTTTAAGAAGCTTCATATATGAAGCTTCCATTGCTTCATATCTACTTTGAATCGACAGAGATTCTTATTTTGTTTATATCCTTGTGTAATTTGCTGTCAAATTCTCAGCTTAGTATTTTTTTTTTAATTTCAAAAGGCTTCAGGCCATCCACTACGACACAGATCACCTCTGTAAGCTTTACTTTAACACTTTAAACTGATGATAAACTCATGACTTGTGTGGGTGAGTTCATCTGCTCTCTGATGGTGGCCTTAGGGTTCAGGTTCAGGCCTGAGAGAAAAGGTGGCTGAAGGGAACTGAGAACTTTAAAGCCTGAACACTGAGGGACGAAATGAGGTGATGGAGTAAAACTGGAAAGGTGAATGTGAAGCACTAAGTGAACTAAGTAAAAAAAAAAAAATCAGGGGGAAAAGAATAACACTGATCCAAGAGAACAAAATCCAAATCCACAAAGTCCAGAACAGAAGGACGGACTGAGAAATAGATTCAGCAATACCTTTGGAAGAACAATAAGCAAAGAGAAATGAACAAAATGTGGAAAAACCAATTGACTGAACAAAAATCTCAAAATACAGAACATAAATGAAACCCTAAACCCAATGACTGGGACACTTTTATTTCCTGACATTCAACCCAGAATGAGACTTTGACTACGCTCTCATAGCAGGTCTTGATGCTCACTTCCAGATGAAATCTGTTTTTCTTTTTGCTGGTCATTCTCACTAATGAACGATGTGACACAAGATGCAGCACGAGATCATTGGATGTGAACCAGGATAAGTACCAGATATGAAAGAGGCACAGATCAGATTTTTTTCACTATTTATTTATTTTTGGAGTGAGGGACGAAAAAAATCCAAACTGGGTCATTCAGATCGCCATGTGAAAGTTGCATGTGGGGCACATAGGAGGGAAAAAAATATTGGATTTGGGTCACATTTGTGGCCTGAGACTGATTTCATTTGTTTCATTGATTGAATTACTTTATTATTATTATCTGTCTGTTTCCTTGCTTCTCTCCGTTAATCTGTCTTCCTTTATGTTGCTCTGTACAGCAACCTTGCTGAGCATCGTTGCTGTTTTTACAGTGGGATGGCCCGTTGTGGTATTTTGTTCAGTGCAATTCAATAACGAATAACACCGTGTCCTCCAAATCAAACCGTTTGATGAAAAGCAGACAGATCCAAACTGCGGAGGTCGAAGTCCGTCTCAGACCGAATCCCGATTCCATTAGGTTTTTTTTGCCCGACATTTAAAACGTGGCACTAAAAAGCCTTTTCCCACGACGGGTAACCGCGGGGGCCGGACCCCGCCGACGGATGCGCAGACGGTGTCTACGTACCACAACGCCCTCGGCTCCAGGCCAATTTATGTTAGCTCCCCAATGGTGTGTTTGACCGACTCTAACCTGATTATCTTCCTGCTTTGGTCTCCAGAGTTGTTCAGATGGGATTACATTAGTCAAAGCCTCCCCTGGAAAACGTTCGGCTTTTACTCGCGAGTTGGCAACGGCGTTAAAACCAAACGTGGGCCTTGGGCTCGTTTTTATTCTTGATTGCTCCATTAGATACTTGTCAGCCTCAGTATTAAAGCACTGAGTACGACTGACAAGATTCAAATTTGATTTGTTATCTTGATTTTGTTTGCTTATAAACACACACGCGCATACATACACAAGCAGCAATAACATCGACATTCTTTTCCTGTACCGACCTACAGCGATGGATCGCTGCAGTCCTTGTTGTAGCTATGTTCTTCATTATGCTCAATAGTACTTTAAAGATTTTCCAGATGTCTGTTTCCTATACCACAAGGAGATTACATCACTTGAGTCAAGTGAGCTTTAAAAGAGTGATCTAAATGAAAACTCCCTGTGCTGTAGGTTTTTGAGTCTAGAAGCAGCAGATTGACCTTTTTGTTTGCCAGGAAGCGGACGTTAGCCAGATGGATCGAGGGCGAAAGGGTGTGGACGGTCTCCGCTATTAAAGTTTGACAAGGCCGCCTTCCTACTAACCTTGTCTTCATTTCTGGTAAATCATATACAGAACACTGCGCCGCCAACGATGCAAATCAGAGAAGAAATATGTAGAGAGGACATTTTGATTTAGGAGTCCTTCTCTGGGGGGAAAGTAGCCAGAGAAGAGCAGCAAAGAGTGGGAGTGCGTTCACACCGGCTTCTCAAAATTTGGTCCGCCTGAAGTTAACTCTGGCGCAGTTTGAACGTGTATGTCGATGCCCAGCAGACCGAAGACCGCAGCAAAATCAGGAAGCGGTCTTCAGTCCGCCAGTAGAGCAGGCCATTCTGTAATATATATATTTTTTTAAGATAAGAGTAATCCTACAACTGCTAAAATTTGATGCCACTCCATTTTTGTTTGAACTTTGTGAAGCGCCCGTGTCTTCTTCAGAGGTTTTCATGTTGTTTCCTGGTGTAGCACCACCACAGGCGAGCAAGTGAACAGGTTCATCGAAGGGTTTGGTTGGTTTGACTCAGTGTAGTGGGAAAGTGAACCGCACGAGCTGAAAATGTAACAGATGTTGCCATTTGGCTCCCCGCTTGAACCAAGTCTCCCGCACTGAGGTGTGAAAACACCCTGAAAGAAAACATTCAAAGTAAGAGAGCAAAGCATGGAGGCCGCCATCTTGAACATCAAGTTAAAGCTTTGCAACAAATGGGTTTTTCTAGGGGACGGAGACCAATACTTTACCTCGACATCGATTTTAAATAGGCTTTGGGACAATAAAGCCAATGTTTTAGAGCAGCCATCACAAAGTTCTGAATCACACAGAAAATCTGGAGAAAGACTTGAACAGTTAACCTACAAGTTTGACCCCATCACACAGATATAAAGTTCTTAATTTGAAGAAAGTTGAGAACATCTCTCTAATTGTAACACAGGAAAACAGGAAAAGTTTGTATTACGGTAGAAAAGTGCTGCGCACAAAGCAAATCTGTCCGACTGAGAAAAGAGGAGACGTTAAACTCTTCATTCGTTCTGTTGTTTCATTCCAGACACTGAACAAGAACAACCTGCTGCCAGACGAAAGATCCAACTTCTACCCGACGCCGCTGCAGCAGACCAACGTCTACACAACCACCTACTATCCCACACCACTCGGCAAGTTCGACTACCAACCCAACTCCTCCCCCTCCCCATGCAGAACCTACAACAACAGTAACAACAGCTGAGACGCAGCCCGCCGATAACCGTCCTCTGTCCCCCCTGACGCTCTCTCCCCCCACCCCCAAATGGACGCCAGCACCACGGTGACATCAGTGAACCAATGTGAACTGAAATGTTATTCGGAGCTAATGTTTCTGTGCTCCACGCCATCACCTCCCTGAACCCGTCGTCTCTTCTGCCTGGTGGCGTGTTGTGTTTTCAGGATTGTTTTTGGAACTTTCCGTCGAGAGACGTGGATTCGGACCACAAAAGCCCGGCTCCTGGTAAAGTCAAGAACTTATGCAACCAGTCTGGGGGGGGTGGGAGGGGGCGTGTGTTTTTGTAAGGAATCTGTCGGGGATGTCGCGGTGTCAATGCCAGCGCTTTATCTGGGGAACAAATGAAAAGAAAGTCAACAAAATGCCGAACTCTGGCTTGGAGGAGATTTGTCGCGACCGCTTCAGTGCAGGTGCAGGGGTCAACCTGCCGGGTCGACGACCCCCGTCTGCAAAGACCCATGGGAATCGGACAACAACAAAAAAAGTACGCTCTTTTTTTTTTCTTTTTTTTTTACTGGATAAGAGTTACATTTTTTATTTTTGTCTCTCCATTATAAACATCATTCTTGGCCTGTAATGAACTCGAGTCCCTCAACAACAAAAAGCCGTTTCAGAGAACAAAGGGCACACGTATTCCTCGTCCTCACCGCACAGCACAGGGGGAGGCAACGACAACAAAAGAGAAAACCGAATGAAGTCGATGACAAAATAAATTACAGATCGATATCAGCGCCGTGGAGTGGGAGAGGAAATGCGCTCGCTCTCTCATCCTCCCTGTTGTTGGTATTTTCACGTGACGGGAAAGATAAGAAGTTTAAAGTTGATTAAGCTTTTGTGAGGCTGATTGGGAAAAAACTCACATGAAGCACCGTCACCCACAGCTGGAGAGAATTATTGTCTAAATCTGCTCTCGATCAAAGTCCCCATCCCGTTTTGGAAGACGAGGATGAAGGATGAAGGTCGTAGCCGGGAATTTGGTGAGGCTGTTCGGAACTGCAAAAGCTTTGGGAATGCCGCGGGTGCCTGGGGAGATTTTTGTTCCCATCTCTTTTTTTTTTTTTTTTTTTTTTGGTTATTTTCCTCTTTTAGTTTCAGCTGAGAACAACAAGGATTCCCGAAGAAGAGGATTGATTGATTCTCCAATTAATTCTCCACTGAATGAATGCAATTCTACTGAATGCTAAATAGTTCAGTGGTCATATCAAATATGGCCAGTGTGCTGAAGAACTGGACCGAGGTTTTTTTGTTTTTTTTCCTATGACGGTAGAATAAGCTAGCAGTCTGGCACTTGTTCTTTTCTAAATGTTTGGTTTTTACGGCGGTTTTCTGTTCACAATGACCTGTAGCATAGAAGGAGAATATTTTGTTAAATAAGAATATAACTGATTGATAATTCTTGCTTCTCTAATTTCATTTTCGTAACAAATGCATCGTCAACACGTGAAATGTTACAAAAATAAAACAATGAATTTTAAAGTCTCCTTTTTTTGGGGTTTCTTTTATATGAATACTAACAAAACCAATCCCTTTCACCCCCTACTCAAATAGAGGAAGGATAAAAAAAAATTTAAAAAACTTATGCTTGCTTACAGGAAAATGAACGCAATGAATGTCTGAAAGTGGGACCTGTTAGCGTGGAACGAGAAAAAAATACAAAAAAAAATAGGGTTGCTTTGTTTTGTACCATGTAAATGCTTTCATACATATGAGGTGGGTTTTATCTGCGTGTGCGTGTGTGTGTGTGTGCAGCTTTTTTCTGTTTCACGTCTTGAGATGTTAATTGTAAGTCCAGCGTTGCGCCTCTTGGTGGAATGTACATTATTTATAGCTTGGTTTGTAAAAGGGCATTTTCACTGGAGTATTTTATTGTTACTGCCTGATCAATGAATGCTAAGTCGGCCAGGCTAACTCAAGTTCAAGCTAATGTATACATGCATGACATGAGAGCTCTATCTGTATATAGGAGCAGCAGCCTTCTGCCCAGTCAATGTCCCTGAAGAGGAATGTGTAAATGACTATGTATACTGTATAGCTAACATTTTGTTTAAAAATAAAAAGAAGAGAGAAGCCTTATAGTTGTTTAAAAAAGAAAATTTAAAAAAGTGCAGCAGCTAAGTACACAATAAACCCCGCGGTTTGTTTGGGGATGGAGCTCCGTGATGTGACCTACCGCCTGTGGCTAACGCGACCTTCCCCAGCTGCCCAAACACACGAGACCGACTGGCTGTCCCACTGACAGGAATCAAAAACTATGTGGATCAAAATAAAAAAAGCTAACTGGAAACAAACGGATCGTTTTGATCATTCCAATTTTCTATTGGGCCCCGGTCTGAAAGCTCTACATGCGATTGGTCGTTCTGAGCTCCGGCCCCCCGGCCATGTGACGCTCTGTGCCCCTTCTATGCAACTTACCAGGTGTACTGTTAGACCTGTCGTGTAGACTATAATCACTGCCTTTTAGACACTGTGAACTTTTTTGTACCCTATATTTTTGTATATTGTACATGATTAAGGACAATAAACCTTGATGCCAACACATCACTGTCATGGCTAGCTGGGTGTGTGTGCCTAATCGTTTGGATAATCCAGCGGATTAGTCCGTGATCGCGTTGAATGAGAAAACGGGGAGGATGATGCCAGGACCCTTAGAGAAAAACAGGTAAGTACGAACATGGACGCTCGAGTTAAAAACTCTCCACACGTCAATGTTTTGTCTTGACTTGTTTAAGGGATGTGAGAGTGAATAGCAAATATTTGCCTTGGTTTAAGGCCCCACGTACAGGAAGCAATGCATCGTCTCATCTTGTGGCAGCTCAGGTTGATTCTGGGCTTTCGAATGATCGGGATACTTTTAACTCTGTCTTCTCGAAGACGTAAAGAGGCACGCATTCTGAAAGGAGCGGTTCACTTTTGTTCCCAGTTTGGGATGTGAAACGCCACAAAAACTCATCCCACCAGGAAGCTGGACGAACATCTTGTTGCACAAACTGGCCGCTGTGTTGGGCGAAAAATGGCAGTGGGAGTAGCAGACCGAGCAGTGGCATCGACTGCAAAGCAGGGAATTCATTAGGGGAAATATATAATAAAGCTAAACCACATTAAGTGTGGTATTATCATTTAGTCCACTTAAATAAGAGACCACCCTGCCTGTAAATCATGCTCTGCTACCCAGCAGGTAAGTGGAAACAGTCTGAGCCGAAAAAGTGTCACAGATGGGCATCTTCTCCCTTTCATCCAGAGACAACAAATGACTGCAGCGCCGAAATGCTTTGCTGTGTGAGAGAGGTGGTGGTGGGGAGGCAAGAGATGGATGAGACAAACGAGCCAAGTAGTCAGGGTGTGTCCAGCAGAGTGCCCGTGGATCACTGCTGGTGCCAGTGGCCCAGACACCAGCGCTTCATCATCACACCACAAATGATTCTGCTGCTGCTGCGCAGGGAAATCAAGATCGGAGCCGAAGAGCAGCATCCGTCACAGGCAGGGGAGACGCTAAATAAAGCACTCTCACTCTTTAGCCCTCACATAAATAACAGAGAAGAACACTATTTGTGTTTCACTCCGACTCAGCGTCAGGCCAAGAGGCTCCGACGCACAGTGAGAAACCCATAAACGCACGAGAACGCGACGTCCTGGTTCAGTTAACTCTACGCTGTACCTCTCAATTACAGAGTGTTATTAATGGGCCCGCTGAAAGTGTTTATCAGTGGCGGGATTCTGCTTGCAAACAGAGGCAGAGATGGGCTGGCTGGCTGGCTGGCTGGCGGCCAGGAGGAGGTCACCGGGAGGAGCCAGTGGTGCCGGAGGAGGAGACGAAGGTGGCGCCAGTGGGAACCCTGCCATCCGCTGTAAAGACGATGACAAGTAAGCAAGGGGAGTACTGGTTCCCAATAATCGCCGAAATGAATGAGATGTGTTAAAAAAAAAAAAACAAGATAACAGCGATGTGAAAAACTGAGTCTGTATCTTGGACAAAAGCAAAGCTGCACTTGTTGATTGTTGACTATCTTGGAAGTGATGCCCGACCTCTGGGAAATTGTTTACAGGTTTTTTAACATTTCACATGATGAAATACCTTTACGTCAAATGAAGTGATAGAAACTAGGAGATCAAATCTTTATTTTTATTTTATTTTTTTGTAAATATAATACAGCTTTTTATTTCAAGCTACAATGTCTTGCAAATCCATCAATCTTGATACCTTGAGAGTTTGACCTCTGGTGACCTCTGTGACCTTTTTTTAATATTAAAGATGAAAATGCCACAGATACAACCTGTGATCTGTTACAGTCACAAACTGAAACCGTATTATGTGTATGTATGACATGTAAATAGTAGTTATGAATTTTATGGTAACATAGACTTATGTGAGGTGTTCACTACATGGGCAATGTAGTGATTTAAGAAAAAAACAAGTACTTTTGACACGCATATCTCAATTTTCCACAAATTGTGATACACTTATGATGTTGAAGCAAAAACAAAAAAGTTTGTAATGTCTGAAAGTTTGCAAGTATCTTTCCTCACACCGTATTCGAAATGTACCTGCTGTTTTACTTCCTTTTTTACATATTTCCCCAGTTTTGACATGGTGATAATGTATATAATTAGTTTGAGCTACAAGTCTGAAAACAGTTGAAAAGAACATGCAAAAAAAAGAGAAATGATTAAATATCTGCAGATTTCCATTGTGGTTTGATTGGCTAATTAAATATTTGCTAGTAATCATAATCTAGAGCTCTGCAGTAGTAATGAATTTTATGCTAATGCAGCGACAGAGCCCGAGGTGTACGTTTGTGGATGATGTTTGCCGAGGAGCTGCTGCTGCTGCAGAGGCCCATTCAACTTCAGCTCGTTTAGGAAGCCGTCACGTTACGCAGCAGCATATTAGGATTATCAGACGTTCACTGTTAACAGAGTAAATAGCTTCTTGTTTTGATGTGAGCTGTGCCGTGTGTCGCAGCAGGCCGGCAGACGAACGGGCGCGGCCTGGTTCTGGGCTCAGCCAGACAGGATGGGCAGATCACAAAATGTCTGGAGCTCAGGCCAAAAACTGCAGGGATGGAGACAGTGAAGGGTCTGCGCCTTTGTCCGTGAGCCAGTGATCGTTCAGGAGCTCTAAACGCACCAACTACTTCTTGAATGGATGAATATATGGAAAAAACTAGTACATTTTTGTCTATTAACATTTTAAGAAAAGAAAGATGTCCTCACACTTGTGCTCCTGAAATCTACACTGTTGGCTGCCATAATAGTCATGTTTGCACAACTTATTTTCTTTGCTATTTTTTTTTTTATTCTAGATTAAATTTAGCCTCAAAGGAGCAAGAAGGTCGAAATCCCGCTGTAGATTCTACAATAGATAGGTGCTTCTGTACTTCTACCCTTCCTGCGCTCACATTCAATATTCCTGCAGCTCAACGTCTTCTTTGAATCTAATTTAACTGCACTTTGCTCTACTGGAAGTGTGATTTCTACCCGTTTTTCTCTTTAATGTGGCGTAGAGGCTGAATTCATTCTTCTAATGGAGGAAAATGTGTGGAAAATTCAAACATATCAGACAGGAAAAGTTCAGTGTAACATCAAATTGTGGTCGACTAATAACAGCCTGAGCTTTAAATTACAATTGTTCACCTTTAAACCTCATCCAACAACTGCCTATTTTAATAGTCATCGTCAAGAAAAATAGGTGGCGCTACTGCAAAAACCAGAACAGGAGACTCCTTGTTCTCGGCGGTTCCTTTTGAAGCCGAAAGTGACGAAGCTAATGGAGAACTTTGAACTTTCACCTTTCACTTCTGTGAAAGTGAAAGGTTCACCCCGGCTGACAGACAGAGATGAGAGGGACGGAGTGAGCGGGCATTGATGGACGGTCCGGGCAGTGATGGACGGTCCGGGCAGTGATGGACGGTCCTCCCCTCTCCCCAGTAAGGCAGAGAGAGGCCTGGCAGACCGCGTTAAATCCCCCGGTCCAGACGCCTGCTTCACATTTCACCACTGGAGCTCAGGGCCCGATTCCAAGAATCTCATTCAACAAACATTTGGGTTTATTGGGTTTATGGTGGTTGTGTGACAGAGAGTTTGAGCGAGCCATTTGCGTTTTATTCAATCTGCTCGACTAGCTGACAGAGGTCTTAAAGGCTGCCAGCCACAACGAGGGCAGGCGGTATTGACGATGGCGCCGTAAATAAAACTGCTGATGACACAGAAACACAGACAGAGGGGGCCGCGGCTCACGGGTCCCAAATGCTGCTGTCAGGCATCACTTACAAAATGTTCAATCATATTTGCTCAGTTTGCTCACTTTATGTTTTATAAATGTTATTTTTCTCATCTTCCTACATATGAGGAAGATGTTTCAGACCTGTCAGTTCCATCAACGTGTGACGCCCCACAGCGTTCATTTTTATTCCTTTCCAACAATAAATCACAAAAATATCTTAAAGAAACCAATTTCTAAACTAATTTTCTCCGTTTCTTAGTCAGATTTGATCCTAAAAGCCAAAAAGATTTTATGAATTTACTTCAGTGTAGACCTCAAAAAAATACAAATGAGTCTCAAATTATTATTTTTTTGCTCCTGAACCCTGTCATAGCAGTAGTATGGATTACAAATTTCTTTACAAATTGTCATTACAAAACTTCTCTGCCACAGTGTGAGACTTTATTAAAATCTCAATGCATTAAAGTCTTGTTTTCATTCCTTTTTGGTGTTTTATAAAGTTATATTCAAACCTTTAGGTATGCTTTATATCTCCATTCATTCATTGAGTTCTTCCATCATGTCAGATCAGTGACAAAGTTGAACAAATGACATAAATGACTAAACAAGGCTTCATGTCTTCTTGGCTTCTAGGTCTGACATTTCTTGGGATTGACACTACTTTTTTTTCAGTTGATACAGATTATTTTATTATATCAAAAAATATCAAATTCGCCATTGCGGAACAAAAACTCAGACAGTTTAATAATACTGAAATAATAATAATAATAATAATAATAAAATTACCTGTAAAAACAAAAAAAAAGAGTGAAAATTTACTAGGCAGGGAAAATCCCCAGCAGAATAAAAACAGGCACAAACTGACACGGCGAGGCTTAAGTACCGCAGCAAACAGGTGAGACAGGAAGACAGTCAGACTAGACACAGGTGGATGGAATGAATCTGAAGAGCGGAGATGAAAACAGGCAGGTGGAACAGAGCGACGTAAAGCACAAAGACACAGGACACCGAGACAGAAAGACACCGAGACAGAAAGACACCGAGACAGAAAGACACCTCAAACTAATCTGTGGAAGCGGACAAATACACGAGATGAAACGTGAAGGAATGAGCAAACATCATACACCATGACACAAATCACAATGATGTACACAAAAGAAAACCGAAGCACAAACACTAGAAGAACCTGACAGGAACAATTTAAAGGAAATGACATAGATGTACAGCAAGCAGAGCCTGAGAAAATAGAGCTGAAGGGAAGAATTCATCAACTGTGGATCATAAATCACCGTCAAAGAAAATGGACCTCAACAAAAGTCAAACAGCCATGGAT